TAGCAGAAGTGAAATACGAAATTTATAAGCATGTCATCCACATAATGACAAACTATGACATATCCTTGGTCAGTGTTTTTAACATAGACGCATTGCATTTGTCACATTCGTTTATCTTAAACCCATCAGTAAGCATTGCATGATTAAATTTTTCATGCCATTGCTTAGGTGCTTGTTTTAATCCATAAAGGGATTTTACAAGTCGACAAACTTTCTTTTCTTGCCCTGATACTACAAACCCTTCGGGTTGTTCCATATAGATCTCTTCATTTAGATCACCGTTTAAGAAAGCTGTTTTAACATCCATTTGATGTATTTCTAAATTAAACAAAGCTGCAATAGCAATAAGCATGTGAATGGATGTTATTCTTGTCACAGTTGGGGCACACCCCAAGTATCTCACCCTAAGCCTTATAAACCCTTTCAAAACTTCCCACCAAATCAATGTGGGACAAGCCAATTTACAACCTTAAGGAATTTCCACCAAAACTCCATTTCCATGGAGCACACTTTGGCTTCAATTTCCCATTCACTCGGTAATGGTTTTGAGCAACCAAATATACCACGTGAATCACAACGCGGCAAAGAACGCGTTACCACTTTGACCCGAGTAAATCGACACTCGGGGCCCACCTAAAAAATAGACCAAACTTGAGAAAAAATTCTGGTTTTACCCATAATTTTTCTACCATTTCCAACAAATAATTCAGTCTTTGAGAGTCATAATTAAAAAAAAAAAAAATTTATAATAAAACATCACATAAGGTATAAATAAAGAGCTCTTGGGCCATAATCAAAATAATATTATAAATAACATCACAATAAATCATAATTAATAAGATAATGTACATAACCAAGTTATAAATAACACCTCAATAGGTCATAACGAAATACTACCAATTTCATAATTAGGGGACATATGATATACACTCCATCATAGAATTTTTTCAAAATTAAATATTATTTTTATCAATTAATATACACTTTAGCACACAAAAATAGCCTTGGTGTTTGGGATGATAAATATAAAATAATCAATAAGATAAAATGTCTCATTTATACATTAATCAATTATTTTTTTCTTTCATAATCATCTATTCAACTAAATGATTAAGCCCTCGTTTGGATGTTGGTTATTTTAATTGATATTTTAATTTTTTGATTATTTTAGTCAATGAAAAAAACTATGTTTGCAAACATTTTAAATTTCAAAATATGAATATTCACATCACCAAATTGCTAATCGTTCAAAAAATATTTGTAAGGGTAGAAATGTCTATAAAATATTTTAAGTATGAGAATTATTATTTGATAAATCAAATGTTCAAATAATAAAATTTATTAAAATATAAAAATATTTTATAAATTAATTGGGATACAAACACTGTAATTTTTTTTTTTTTTCAAAAAATCTCCCAAAGAAAAAAAGTAGACTCATAAAAAGAAGAAAGCTCAGTGACTAGAGTTGGTCAAACGATTTTACAAGCGACGGTCGAGAAAAAGTCAAGGCCAGCCCTACCTTTGGAAGTGATGCTCTGTATTACAAGTCGAAAAGACATTTAACTTTGATTTCTATTTTCCTTTGGTGAAACTTCAAAGAC